AAACAAGGCACCCTTGAAAAGATCTCTGGTGATCTCAACAGACTATGGCTTGGACTTGGTCTCGGTAGCCTCGCTTAGCTCCACAGTGCGGCGGTGGCTTCTGTGTTTGGTCAGGTACAAGCGCAAGCGCTTGTTTACTCATGTGTGTTCAGGCAGCTGAATCTCTCTTTGGGTTCTCTGGTGGTCGGCTGCCGGCATTTTGGTCTTCTCAAAACCTTGTTGGATCTGACTTCCAGGCACTGACAGGGGGTGCTCGTGAACCATACCCAAAGAAAGTATATGGACATGTAAGGAAGGCACCCAATTCCTCTCCACATGCAGGACCTACCAGATGTTCAAATTCCGGAGCTGCTGGGCCGCAAAGAGGGTCTTCCACAACTCTTTTAGCACTGGTACTGCAGAGCACCACAGCCACAGGATGTGTGCCGTAAAGAGATTTGAGCTTTGGATTTAAGCTCCATGCCGCAACATGTTCTCAACAGATATGCAGGCTGTGCTTCAAGACTATATATATATATATGTAGACCTTTGTCGCATTTGTCTTTGGTGTCTACTTACTTCATCGTCGTCTCTGCGTGCTACCTCGCTTGCCACCGGAAATCGGTTTTTTTTTTCATGGTCTTGTTGAACATGATGGTCTAGCTTCATCGGAAAAGACACATCCCGTGTGATCGACACCCAAGTCTCGAGGGCATTCAAGGAGTTGCAGAAAATACAAGAGCCTTACCAGACATGACCGGCGCAGGCCACAAGCATCTAGTCATGGCTGCAGAATGCTGCAGATGTGAAAGTCATCCGACAAACATTTGCCCTGAAAAGCAAGGTTGGATGGAGAGCCGGCAGGCGATGAAGTTGCTTGGAGTAAAGTAGCATTGACAGGGCTTTGGCCTCCGTGCGTGCTTTTTTTGCTACCTCTATTTTTAACTTTAAGCTTGATTGATGTTCAGGCACTTGAGCCACGCAGCCACACATCAATGCTTTTTTTTCATTCTCTGTCTGTCAATGACGTTCTTCGACTTGGTTTGTGCGCTCAGCACTTGCTTTCCTTCCTTGGTTCCTTCGCTTCACACGAATCAGGTTCTCCAACGGCTCAGGGAAGTAAGACCAGGCAAGCGAACAGAGAGAGCCAAGTTGTAGAGGAGAGGACTTCGCCTTGCCAAAACTGTGGTGTGCCGATGAGTCCTGCCAAGTACTAACACCATGTGTGAAGGCTACTAACTGCTGAAAAGGAGAAGCAGAACGTGTATGACTGACTGGTGATGATGCACAAGTAAAGCTTGAGCCAGAACCGTTCTAGTCCCCCTATCAAATCTACAAATGGCTTGAGCGCCTGCGCCAAATCAAGTCAGGCATTGCGGCCTACTTGGAATCTGAAGGCCAAGTCAGGGCTCTTGGTGGGTGGACTTGGTGGGTCATGTCTTTGTTTGACCAATTCATTTGGAAGGAACCCTTGCATGCTGAAGTGGTTGTCTCCAATTCTCTTGGGGTGGGTTGCGAGTTTGGAGGAATTCTTGCTTGAATGATGCATTGGAACTCCATCCACTTGTCAGACAGTGAGCATAAAGAATTGCATGTTTGAGTTTGACATGCGTCAGTACTTGCCAGGTGATAATGATAGTGCCTCAGTACTTGCCAGGTGATCCTGACCTTTCGGCGGCATTGCACTACTTAGAGGTGCCTTGCACAAGGAGACTAGCTGACATAAACCCTCTGGACTGAAGAAAGAAAGCTGGCAGCTATCGAACGGAACGAGCGAGCTTGTTTCTGTTCACAACTCATTTTTTTCGGTGGGACGGACCTTGGGACTTTTGGGCCAGACGGGTTGACGGACGAAGGAGCATTGAATGAATCGGACTTTTGAATTGTTGATCCGTGTGTCTGTGAGTCGGTGTTGCTGCAACATTGGACGCGCACACACGCGCAGGTTTCGCCGGAGGCGCCATCCTCCAGGCTCCGAAGCGCGTGGATCACGTCGGGGGCGTGAATGATGTTGCACTTGGCCTTCACACTTAGTTGCCGAGTTTTTGGCGCAGAAGAAAAACATCCACTCCATACACACAGCAATGATGCATTTCTCAAAGCTGCCAACCAATCAATTGGAACACTCCAATTTGTCGAGCAGCTCAGCAACTGGAGCACCAGCTGTGCATCACCAGTTTCTAAGATTTCTATTTTTCTGTAGACTTTTCTTACTGGTTCTTTTCATTGCAGTGCTGACCAGCTGCCACTTGTTTCTCCTTTTATATAACTACCAATTAGCAGTCATTGCTCAACGGGAGAGACCCAGACTCAGCAGGCCTCTGGTTGTTTGTGGAGAAATGGCCAAATCGATGCAATTTGTCTGGGACTTTCACGCGAGGTCTCCTGGAACAGAGCGAGGCGATTCGGAGGGATGGGTCAGCTGTGGCAGACTCTATATAGAGTCTAAAGAATGGCAAGTTGCAAGCAGTTCGTGTTGTCAACATGATTGCTCCCTATGCAAACTGAAGTAGTGCGTGATCAGGCGTCAGACAGGCGCCATTTTCACGCCGCCAAACACGTCAAACCCCGCTTTTGACCTGCGGAATCGGTTGCTGTTCCGGTTGCTTGCTGCTCATGTGACAGTCTCCTAGACTCATTGTCTATGTGGAGCCCCATGGGCAAAGGTGAATATCAGAATATAATTCATATTGACTTCACAATCTTCAGCTTTTTCATGCTTTTCAATAGACTAAACACCTTTTTCGATTCGTCTGAAGAAGCGCAGACGATTGTCAGTAGAGTCGTAAAGGTGGAAGATCCGAACGCCTGGAACGCAGAGAGAAGCGCTGCCGATGCGGCTTCTCCTGCGGGACGAAGGTGCGCCGATCGCTGCAGAGTAGGACTTCCTTACAGATCTAATTAGAGTCTTTTCATGAAACACACTTAAGAAACATTTTTTCACATAGACACCCTCCAGAAAGTCACGGAAAAGCTTTTTTTGATTCGATATGAAGAAACCTGGGTGAATCTTCCTTATTGAAGCAGAGCCAGTTGTAAGCAAGATAGTATCTGCCTCAAGAATCTAGTTTCACTAGACGACACTTTGTCATGCTTGCCATTTGGAACAAAGCCAGTTCTTCTCAAAAAACAGTCCGCCGGAAAACCAGCATTGCTGCATGGGAGGGGGCTCGACATGAAAACTGTCTCTGCAATTTGTCCTTCACACAACTGCAGACAGATGAAACGATCATTGACGAGTATCGTCAGTACAGTGGTGCTTCAGGAGAGTCTTGGTACAGTCTTCTCCGAGAGTCGATGGTTGACCGAGGCAGCATTGGAGAGGCATTTCCTGCACTATGCCCACGAGTCTCAGTTTCATCATGCAGTTTAGCCTGAAGAGTGGTTAGTCAGTAGGATTGCCCTCCTGTATATCTCTCAAATTCCTTTGGAGAATTTGGAGGCACCCTATTTGGCATTCCTTATGCACTGGATTTGGGCATCTCAAGCTCTCCTCCAAAGATGAGGATGACAGGCCAACGGTGAACACGGACAACAACAGTTTTCATGCCGGATTGAGTTCATGCGTTAGGCCTCCAGCATCATCCTTTTTCAACTCGTCGAACGGAATCGCAACACTCCTGGTGGGCATGCGCGCAGTATAATTACACAGAAGATCGAAAGGCGTTGGCTGCGCAGCATATTTTCATATAGTTTCTCTAGGTTTTGTAAACTCATTCAATGATTCAAAAGGACCTTCGGGCCGTGTTAACTATGGATGAAAGACACGGCCCTTGTCATGTTCAGATGTATTCAGTCGAAGACACGGCCCCTTCAAGTGTAAATCCACTGACAAAACACGCGAGGATAGGCTGATGACTGTCACGTTGAAAGATCGAGCTGCGTTTTTGCTGGATCTTTGCTCCATGCTTGCTCCTGATTTGTTTGGCTCACGAAGTCATTGCTTGCACCAGTTCGAGAGTCGTTGATTCTCAGAGCCTCTCAGTTGCAGTGAAGGAACTGTTGGAGCTTCGGTCGTCTGGCAGCTTGTTCCAGTTTGTTAGCTTTTGTCCTAGTCTGGTCATAGGACGGTAGGAGCACTGAATCCTTCTTCGTCCCCGGAACGCAATTTGAGGTACGATCTGTGACCCATGCAGACTAAAGATGCATTATTTGATATTATTTGCATAAAGACTGAACTGTGTAATTATGAAAACCCCTTAGTCACCTTGGATTCTAATGATCTAGGACGATGATCCTCCCCAATCGCGGAGTTTTCCGGACTTCACAAGGTGATGGCGACGAACGGACGGGTGACTCAGGGGAAATTCACCGATTTTGACGAGGAAATCTGTCCACGAGTTCTTTGATCGTCGCTGTTGATACTCTGGTCATCTTTGGCCATTCATGGAGTCAGGAGCTACTTTCATGACTCATTGCAGCTTGCAAGCCCAAGGCAAGACGTCACTTCACGATATAAGTATATGCCAGTATATGCCTCCTGCAATAGTGTCCAACAAAGCATCTCACGCAAGATGGACCCATGGAATTCTGGGACATCTTGCATCAACTCAAAAGCACATTGGCTTCCTGGTATGGCTAAGGCTCCAACGGCTACGACTTGCCGTTTGGTGCGACTGGGCACGTCGCTATGCTGTTCACACCATTGTGTTTCCGGTCGGATAGTCGCATAGTTTATGATCCATTGAGCGGCTTGTGCGTTCGAGTTGATTGGACCAATTGACCATGCGCGCAACGATGATCGGATGCTACGTTGCACTCTTTGACAACTGTCGGCTCTGATTCTGTCACCTAATGAGGCTGCATGTGAGGACAGCTTGTTGGGATTGAGGGTTATTGTGGTACTGCAAAGGAAGCTGACTTGAGAGGATGTAGACAGCTTGACGTTTATACACACATATTATTTACTGTGTATGTATATATAATATGTACACATACATTTTGTGCCTTATTTGTGTTTCAGATTGACACAACTGTTTGTGTTGGGCTTTAGCCGGTGCTGACAAACGCAGCAAGCAGCCATGGGTGCGTGGTGGACACCTTTGTTTGAGGCCGCATTGACTGTTGCGTGCTCTCTCTCTCTCTCTCCCCCTCTCCCTCTCCCTCT